CAGGCCAGCCCCGCAAACGCCAGCGACGATGCTGACTGCGAGCACGATGGTGGCGAGCACGATGATGGCGAGCCCCATCCTCCGTACCACCCCGCTGGTTTGTTTGGCTTGCTCCTGAACCTCTGAACGCTCCATGGGTTGCGAGGCCGGCGGCCGCGGACCAACGTGCAAAGGGGAGAACGAAAAACGGCGGAAAAAAAATCGGGGGCGAACGTGCACACATTGGCTCCTTCGACACGGCGGTGGAGGCGGCGGTGGCGTACGCGCGCGCGGTCGGCGAGTACCAGCCTCCGGCGGTGGCGACAGAGGCGGAGGGCTTGCGCTTACACCTCTCGAGCAACAGCAGCACCGGCTACTCAGGCGTGCGCAAGCACTCCTTCTCTAGCCGCTTCGAGGCGCGGGCAGGGTGGACGGCAAGGATGTCTACATCGGCTGCTTTGGCTCGGCGGTGGAGGCGGCGGTGGCGTACGCGCGGGCGGTCGGCGAGGAGGGGTTGGCGCCGCCGCCGCGCCCCGCGAAGCGCCCGCGCGAGTCTGCCGCTGCGCCTGCGCTAGAGCCCACCGCCCCTTCCATTCCCGCCGCCGCCGCCGCCGCCGCCGCCTCCCCCTTTGCCCCTGCCGCGCCCTCCCTGCCTCCGAGCCGCCTCTTCGAGCTCCTGCCCGACGGCCGCACCGTCCGCAAGGAGGCGCCTCTCGACAATGGCGGCATGGCGGCCGTCGCCGACGCGCTCGGGCGCATCGGGCTGCAGTCCTACACCGCCGCGTTTGACTCCGAGGGCTTCGACGACATCGACTTTCTGCTCGGGCTGGACAGAGCCGAGCGGGCCGCCGTGGCGACGGCGACGGGCATGGATGCGAAACCGGGGCACGCGGGGAAGTGGGTCAAGTTTGGCTTCGGGGAGCCCTGATACACACCTATACGCGTTCCCTGGCGTGCCTCCCTCTAAGTTCGATTTGTGTTGTTTGTTCTGACTGAGCCGGCGTACTCTCATGTCTCTGTGCATCTAGCTCGGTTCGTGTTATGCCGGTGGGTGTTTGCTTTGTCTGTGCAAGGACAGTAAAGAAAGAAAAGAAAGAAAGCAGACACAACCCATGGGAGGGATGGCAGCGCCGGAGAGGACGAGAGTCTTCGCCCGAATTCTTTTTGAGCTAGACTTTATATGTTTATAACGAATTATTTTTTGTCACGCTCTGGGGTTGGAAAATTCTTTTTGTGGCGCGGACGACGGTTTCTAAGGAAGCCGCCTTGTCTGACGGATAGTAAAATTCTTTTTGTTGATTTACTGGGTCAATGGCGGCGTCGAGCGCCTCCGCGATGACGGACGACGAGAAGACGGCGGAGGAGCTGCTGCTCGCGATGGGCGACTACACGCCCGCGATTCCCGAGGAGGTGACCGCGCACTTCTTGGCGCAGTCGGGCTTCCAGGCGACGGACGAGCGGCTTGTGCGGCTCGTGTCGCTCGCGACGCACAAGTTTGTGGCTGACCTCACAAACGACGCCCTGCAGCACTGCAAGAACCGCCAGGCAGCGCGGAAGGGCGACGTGCGGCTCGTGCTCACCACCGAGGACCTGGCGCAGGCTTGCCGCGAAAACGGAATCTCGCTGCGCAAGCCGCCCTACTACGCCGACACGCCCGCGGGAAGTAGCGACGCCGGCTAGGCCGCGCTCAATCCACCACCTGACCGGAGGCCGTGGTGCCAGAGCTCGGCGCAGGGCAGTTCCTTCGCGGCTCTTACTAAAGGGCTGGGCGCGCGTGCGCCGCCGCACCGCCGAGGAGAGACTGCGGCTCTTCCGTGCCCGGTCGGCTTGCGTGCTGTATCGTGGTCGCTCCTCGCCCACGCCCCCACACGCACCTCGGCACGCACCTGCTGTACTAGTGCTCGCGCTCTTTCCCCAGCCTGCCAGTCACAAGTGTCACCGCGCCTGGTCGCTCGCATATTAAATTCCATAGGGGTCGCTGCCGGGGTAGAATCTCCGTGTCCGCGCGCATGGCATGTGAGTGAACCGCTTTTAGTTTTCCACAGTTTTCCACTTTACCACTACCACATAGATACATAAATGTGTAGCCGTAAATAAGCCTGCCCTCGCTTCACATTCACACACGCAAACACACACAGCGCGCTGCGCGGTAACACAAACACATGCTTGGCCACACACATCTGAGCGCTGGCAGGTGGCACATCCCTGTACCCCCTACTGTGCCCCCTCCTCTCGCCACTGCCGCTTTCTCGTCCGCCAGTCTCTGCCGCCTCACAGCTTGGACGAGGGCGCGGCGAAGAGCCCGTCGCCGTCCAGCCAGCGAGGGTTCTCGATCGTCCACCGGATCGTCTTGCGCAGCGACTCCTCAAAGGTGAAGGGCAGCTTCCACCCGAGCTCCTCGAGCTTGGTCCCGTCGAGCGAGTAGCGCAGGTCGTGGCCGGGTCGCGTGTCTGGCCGGTCGTGCATCTCGTAGACCAGCTCGCGGCCCAGCTCCGCCGCGATGAAGCGGGCCACCTAAGGCAAGGGAAGGGAAGGTACACGTCTCCACACACACGAGGTGGTGGGGCAAGGGGGGGCGACCCTCGCGACTCCACGTCTAACGACAGGAGCCCCACGGCATTCAAAGTGCAAAGGCCCAGTGCGCGTGGGTGAGCGGGCCACCTCGAGGTTGTCGAGCTCCGCCTCCCCCTTGACGTTGTACTTTTCGCCGAGCTCGGCCTTGTGCAGCACAAAGAGGACCGCCGCGGCGATGTTGCGCGCGTGGATGTAGAAGCGGGAGCCCGCGCGGAGCGAGCCGTCGTAGGCGTGGATGGTCAGCTTCTCGCCTGGAGGGGAAGGGGGGGGGGGGGGGGGCAAAGACGGCTCCGAGAAGGCTCCTCGAGGGGGCCGCCGCGCGGGAGATTGCGATCTCGCCGCGGAGGATGCGCGAGATGCAGAGCGGGATGAACTTCTCGGGGTGCTGCCGCTCGCCGAACGCGTTCATCACGTTCATCGTCACGAGCGGCACGCGGTACGTGTTGAAGTACGACTGGCAGATCATCTCGGCCGCCGACTTGGAGGCCGAGTACGGGTTGGACGGCTTGTGCGCGTCCCCCTCCTGCGACAACAAGGCGGCAGGGACGGCGAGTCCAGCTTGTTAGACGTATGGGAAAGCACGCTCCATACGTCAACACAGCTGACCGCAAAACAGCCGAAGACGCGGCCTCGTCTCAGTGCGGATCGGCGCACACGCTGGGGCGGTGTCCAGCATCTAGGCCGGCCAGGCTCCTTGAACGCCTGCCCCTCCTCCGCCGAGCCGTACACCTCGTCCGTGGAGAAGTAGACGAAGTGGGTCAGCTGCGGCAGCGTGCGCGCAAACTCGAGCATGGTGAGCGTGGACTTGATGTTGTTCTCGACGAAGGGGACGGGCGAGTCGATCGAGTTGTCGACGTGCGTCTCCGCGGCGATGTGCAGGATCACCGCCACGCGGTCCGGCTCCAGCTCGTACACAAGCCTACGTGCCGAATGCGCCAACATCAGGCCGGGAGGACGGTATCGTGCAGAGCATTCAGAGCACCGTGTGAACACGAGGGGGCACGAATGCACGGAGTACAGCGGGAGACGGTCGAGTACAGTGGAGTACGTGTCCCCTCGAGCGCTAGTTGGAGTACAAGAGTCCGTGTTTCAGCGTCTGTGCACACGAGCCCTGGCGGGAGGGCGGAGGCGAGGTCGACGCAGTACGTCTGGATCAGGTGGAAGACGCCAGAGTCGCGCAGCCGGTCGTAGCCCTTGGAGGCGTACGAGAGCTTGTCGAGGACGACGACCTCGAAGTCGGTGTTGCGGACGAAGTGCTCGACCGTGTGGTGCCTACCGCACTCACCCCTCTCCCTGACGCCAACACACTGCCAGGCCTGTCAGTACTCAGCTGGGGCCCGGCGGGTGCGGCGCCCGATGAAGCCGCAACCGCCGGTGATGATGCACCGCTTGCGCGCGCCAAGCCCGGCGCGCGCCCCCGGAACCGCCGCGAGGGCTCGCTGCGGCGGCGCCTCCGCCCAGCTCCGCACCGCGCAGACGACGCGCTCCCGCTCCGCAGGCCCGACCCACCAGCCGACGGGGAGGCAGAGGATCTCCTCGGCGAGGCTGTTGAGCTGCGGCAGCCGCGTCGCGACAGAGGCGACGCACGGGTGGAGGTCGTTGCGCTGGTGGACGGCGGAGGAGGCGATGCCGGCCTAGGGTCAGGGTTGGGGGTGGGGTTCGGGGTAAGGGGTAAGGGGTAACGGCTTCGGGCCAGGCGCTGGTGGAAGGGGTTAGGAGGCGACGCCTCGCGCCAGCACCCCAAGCAGGGAGTGAGTTCGTGGGTTGAGCGGCTATGGTGCCCGCCTCGCGCAAGCGGGCGCCGTCGGTCGGGCGGTCCATCTCGGACCTCGGCGGATCTCGGCGGATCTCGGCGGATCTCGGCGGATCTCGGCGGATCTCGGCGGATCTCGGCGGATCTCGCCTCGCGCAGGTGCGAGATCAGCGAAGCGCGCAGCCCCTGCGGCACGCGCAGCGTGAAGAGCCAGTAGGCCGACACCGCGCCGACGGGCAGGTCGCGCAGCAGCGTCACGTGCGGCAGCCCGGCGAGCGAGCGCTGGTAGAACTCGGCGTTGGCGCGGCAGGCTGCGAGCAGGCGCGGCGCGTGGCGCAGGTTGGCCTCCCCCACCGTCGCGTTGACGTCGTTCATGTGGAACTTGAAGCCGAACTCCTCCACCGGCGGCTCCATCCGAAAGTCTCCGCCGCCAGACCTCCTCTCGCGGTCGATGCCGAACCAGCGCACCAGCCGCGCGCGCTCAAAGAGGCGCTGCGTCGGCGCAATCAGCACTCCGCCGTCGACCGCAGTCACGTGCTTGATGGCCTGGAGCGAGAAGCAGCAAAAGTTGCCGTGCGAGCCGAGCTTCCTGCCGCCCCACTCGGCGCCAAACGCGTGCGCGCAGTCCTCGATCACCGCCGGCCGGAAGCCGAACCGCGAGAAACACCGCTCCTGGATCGCGGCGAGCCGTCCCAAGTCGACGGGTGACCCGCCCCAGTGCACCACCATGATCACCTTGGTGGTGGGCGAGAGCTTGGCCTCGAGGTCGTCGAGGCAGACGTTCGCCGTCGCCGGGTCCGCGTCGACCCACTTGATCCGCAGCCCGTTGGCGAGGATCGGCCAGTTGGTCGCAGTGCACGTGAGCGGGCAGGTGAGCACCTCGTCGACGCTCTCTTGAAGGCCGGGCCAGCCGCCCTCGGCGCGCTTCAGCAGGTGCAGCGCGAGGTGCAGCGCAGACGTGCCGGAGTTGACCGTCACCACACGAGGGCTCTGCAGGAAGGCTCGCAGCGCCTCCTCAAACGCCTCGACCTTTGGACCCTGCGTGACGTATCCCGAGTGCACGACGCGCAAGAGCTCGTCGTCGAGCTCCTCTGGAGGCGCGACAAACACCTTGAAGAGCGGGATGGGCGGTGGCGAGCTGCTGGAGGCCATCGCGCAGGTGTCGCTGCCCCAAACATCGCCAAAACCGAGGCGCTTGCCAAACCACGCCCAGGATCTTCTTGCGGGTCCGGGTCCATCACACTCGGCTCGGGTAGTCGTCCAGCTAGCAGTTGCTCCATCGCCTCCCATTCCTCGTCGCCCTCCCTTCTCCCTGCGCACCTCTTCGTCGCCCCAGCAATGGCGCGTACAGCGAGCGCCTGGGCTTCGCACTCTGCGGTGTGGGCGAGTGTTCGCCTCCTTGACTTCCGCGCCTCTGCCTCTAGGCTGGCCCTCCATCGCCTCCCGTGCTCTATACCTCGGGTCTGTCCCGTCCGCATGCCGTGTACCAGCCTTAGCCTCGCCTTTTTTTTCCTAGCAGGCCTCAGGCTGGCGCTGGGTCGAGTTTGGACCCCGTTCTCTGTCTCCCTCGTATCTCGTGTCGCCTGATATCGTCCCCGTCGCCTTGATTACCGTCCTCCACACGCTGTCGTCTCCTCCCTTTCGCGCTGCGTGCCCGCCGTCCAGCCGCTTTCGTACCCACCGTCCAATTTTCTCCTTCGCCTCTTGATACAGCCTCCTGTCTCGGATCTCCGGCGCCTGCCCCTCCTCCTCATGCATGTAGATGCATGCCCTGTTCGTCACGTGTCGTGCTAGGTCCATCTCGTACGCGCTCGTTACCCTGCTCCGCACCGGCCCGCTGGGTGCGCTTCTCAGCTCCCCGGCCCTGGATGTGAGGCTGCCTGGCTCTACCCTGGTACGAACATATTCGCTGTGGGCGACTCGGTGCACGCACACACCTGTGACGGCTAGCGTCCGCCTCGAGCGCGTGTTTGTTGGCGCGAGATGGCCAAAATTGAGAGAGGGGCATCTCTGACTGAAAGCTAAAGAAAGAAAATGATCTTTCCCGAACCGCGAAGACCTTTCTTTTTCTCTACCGCCTCGCCGAGGGAACCAGAGAAGAAGAAAATCTTCCTTCGTAAACAAAAAAAACGTCGCTGTGTTCTGCGCAGCTGCTGCCATCCCGTTGCGGTCGCGACCCGCTGGATTCGACCTTTTTGGGGTAAGGTATGGTGTTCACGCATAGGCTCTGTCGCTCGCCGAGGCCCTCGCTCCTCTCCGCCGCGGCGAGGGCGGCTGGGGGGTGGGCCCGGCCGTGCTCGTCGGCGGCGGACGGGACGGCGGCGGAGGCGGCGGTTGGCGACGGCGGGCTCACCGCGCGCATGCAGCGCGAGCTGAGGGCGCTGCAGCCCGGCGCAGGCCTCGACGCGCCTCTGCCAAAGGCGAGCGGAGGCGGGTGGGTGGACCCGACCGGGCTGCGACGAAAGTCGCCCGACCACGAGCTCCCTCCCTACGCGGAGGCCAGCTTCCGCACCCTCACGTTTGTGATGACGCGCGCACCGCGGCTCGCAGACTTTCCGCGCGAACCGACGTACCGGCGGGACTCGATTGACCTGCTGTTCCGCCACTACTACAAGAGGCCGTAGCGGGCGCAGACCCGGCAGCAACGCCGCGCCGCGGGCTGTACCAACCAGTGTGTGGCTTTATTTGCGCGCGTTCGGGCGAGCCTTTTCGTGTGCGGTGCGTGTCAGTCGCGAGTCGAGGTGCCGCGTTCGCGCTCCACGTCATCACGCGCACGCTCGAAAACCTATGTATCACCGTTAACCGAAAAAAATCACCGGCACGCGGCAGAGGACCGGTTCCCGGAGGACCGCTACCCGGAGCAGCAGCAGACTGGCGAGCAGACCCCCTGAGGGGGAGGGTGTAGAGGACGATGTAGAGTGCGGTGTAGAGAGCGCGCTGTAGAGATGTAGAGATGTAGAGCGCTCTGGAGCGCTGTAGAGCTGTAGAGCTCTACATCCGCCGCGGGACGATGTGAGTCCGATGTAGAGCGATGTAGAGGCGCTCTACAACGTGAAATCTCTACAACAAACTCTACATCATATAAGCCGCGAACGAGGCACGGTCGCTCTCCGACATGAGGCGCGCGTTGCACTTGCCAGTGCTGGCTGCTGCCCTGGCCTTCTGTCTGCCCGCCCAATGGGTGGGAGGTGCCTCTGCTGCTGTGGCATGCCTCACGGCTGCGACTGGCCGGCGCCTCGGCGCGTCAGCTCGGCTCGGCGTAGCGATCACAGTGGCGCCAGCGCAACTCGCCTGGACTCAACGCTCAGCCAGGAGCTCCCGCACGCGCTGGCGCGAGGCATGGCGCATGCAACGCGCAGCAATGCTCGCCTCGCCTCGCGCAAATGCGACCGTCCTCGCAGCCGACAGTCCACCGCCTGCTAAAGAAGCACAGCGACGAATGCGGCAGCGGCGACGCATGGCAGGCTGGTCATGACGCAGTCATAGGGTGTTGTGTGCCGTCAGAGTGACTCTCTGTGTGTCAGGGACAGTCAGGGCCGTCCATCAGAGCTCCAGTAAGCTCGGAGACACCCCATTAGCGCGGCTCGACCTCTTTGAGTTACTGCCTTCCCGGCGGTTTTGCTGTAGAGCCTCTACAACAAACTCTACAGCAAAATCGCGCTCTACATCGCTCTACATCGGACTCACATCGTCCCGCGCCGGATGTAGAGCTCTACAGCTCTACAGCGCTCCAGAGTGCTCTACATCTCTACAGCTCACAGCGCTCTACACTCTACATCCTCTACACCCTCCCTCAGAGCAGACCCGGGAGACACGCACACGGCACACCGTCACCGACATAAATAAATAAATAAATAGAGCAGTCATCTCCAGGGAGAGATGGGCGACGCACACGATCACAGAGGGACAGTGCGCACCCCGCCCCGCTCGCAGGGCGTGCATCACACAGGTGGACTGTGTGACTCCTCGGGTTTCTGGGACTCAGAGGTGTGCTAGTCGCTATTCTCCGACAACTCCGACATATCTGACGGGCAGTTCGGGCTCGAGCGGTCGCGGTCGCGGCCAGCGCGTGAGGCCTGGCTAGGGTTGCCGGGCGAGAGCTCGACCCACGCGCCGGAGCGCGCGTGGTGCTTGAGCAGCCGGGCGGTCGCTGCAGCCACCTCGAAGGGTAGCTCGTCGAGCCACTCGCCGAATGTGCCCTCGTCCTGCGCCGCAGCGAGGAATTGCTCACCTAAGCCGTACGCGCGGCAGGCCCGGTAGAGCGCCTCGTTCTGGATCTCCTCCGGCGCCTCGGAGTCGTAGCCGCAAACGGAGGAGCCGGCAGAAGAGGCCCGCTTCGCAGGCGGCGCGTCAGGCGACGAGGAGCGCGAACGCCGCGGCGGCACACCGTCGCCGCGCGCGGAGAGCGCGTTCCTGTCGACGCGGGGCGCAGCCTTGCGCCGGCCGCGCTTGGCCGGCCGGATTGTGAGGCTGCCGGCAGGCGGCTGTGCAGCCGCGGCTGCGTACGACTGAGCCGCAGGCGCGGCGGCGGGCGCGGCGGCTGGCGCGGCGGCGGCTGGCGCGGCGGCGGGCGGCGCGGCGGCGGCGGGCGCGGCGGCGGGCGCGGCGGCGGGCGCGGCGGCGGCGCACGTGCCCGCTCGCTCGCGCTCCGCGCGCTCCAGCTCCCGTGTGTACTCGGACTTCAAGTTGATCTGCCCGTCGAGGCTGCCGTCGATGTGCATGGTGAACCGGACGGTGGCCGCGTCGATGTGCTGGGCGTGTCCCATCAGCGAGCTGATGAAGGACGCCTCGCGCATCGTCAGCGGCTCGCCGCCCTTCATGCACCGCTCAGCATCGCGGAGGCGGCTAGCACTGTCGCGCTTGAATGCCGGCATTCAAGCGATCTCTGTCACCGACACGCGGCACACCACGAGTGCGAGATTTTTTTATTTTCCGGAACCCTCAACAAAGGCTCCGGTGAAAGCTCACGGCGATCGCGCGCTTTGCTCCCGCGCCTGATATGCCCATCGACGCCTGTCTCCGCCACCCCTACCATCGCACCCACCACCGCCCTCTCCGCCGCCCTCACCACCGCCGCCCTGGCCGCAGGCGCGCTGCCGCTCGCTGCGACGACGATGCGAGCAGTGCAGTCAGCCAGAAGAGGTGCGCGGCTTCCGTCGCCGCGCCTCTTCGCTGCGGCCGGCGTGGGGCCGGGCCGGAGGCACTACCAGGGCGGCCTCACCGATAAGGACCGCATCTTCACCAACTTGTACAACGACGACGACTTTGGGATTGAGGGCGCGATGAAGCGTGGCGACTGGTACAAGACCAAGGAGATCGTGCTGCTGGGGCCGGAGCGGATCATCGCCGATATGAAGGGCTCCGGGCTGCGCGGCCGCGGCGGCGCCGGCTTCCCCTCGGGTCTCAAGTGGTCGTTTATGCCGAAAAACAACAAGTGCGCGTCATCCCCGCTCGCCCCGGGACGCTTGCCGACCCTGTGGGCGGGGGAGGTACTCAGCTCGAGAGCTTTGGCAGCCGCGCCGCCACCTTCGCCGGGCGGGAGTGGCCAGATCCGTGGCCGGAGGAGGGGGGGAGAGAGGGGTTCGATCCCGCGCGCCAGCGGCTCACGCAATCCTCTGCAGCGGCAGACCCCTTCGGCCCTCTACCCCTTCGCCCTCTTCTCCCTTC